TTCCTGCTGGGGTCCCTGTGGGGCTGGTAGGACAGATGAGTCCTGCTTCCCCTCTGTACTCTCCAGGCATTGTTAGTCGTGCTGGTAGCACCAGCATCCCGAGCTGCTTGTCCACAACTTGTCCCCTCGTTGGATAGAGGTTACCTTTAGGATTTGGTACTTGCACTCCCAGGTACGAGCCTCAGCATCAGCCCTGCATCAAGAGAGGGAGCAGATGGGCAATAGGGCAGGTCTGACTTGTTGGATTTGTGTCTCCCGACAGATGCAAGGTCCTGAGCCGGTGCCTGGGGGTCCGACACAGCGCATTTTCCAGCCCCCCCACCCGCCACAGCAGAACCCCCTGAGCTACTTCCTCCACCCGCAGCAGCAGAGCCGCCATGCGCAGGGCCAGGCCTGCAACCTGCCCGACCTGCCTGAGATGCAGCTGCCCTGAACGCCGGGTCCGGGAGGCAGGGACCACCTTGGCTGCAGCCGCTTGGTGCCCCAGGCACATGCGGAGGGGAGGACGACGCTGTCAGAGCCCGGGACGGGTGAGGTCGGGCCCCACAGGGAAGGTGGTGGCTGGAGGGACAGTCCCCGCTGGGGACGGATGGCTCCGGGGGCACCTCGTCGGTTGGGATTTCCACGCAGCCGGTCCGTGATGCTGCTCGGGCAGCCGTACGTGCTCTTGCCCAGCACAGCAGTACAACTGGAAGGCAATGGCTTTCTGGCTGCAGGGAGGTTATTTATCAGGTTGCCACAAAGATTGCTTTGCAACGGAGCAAACCCTTTTCCATTCAGGACTTCAATGCTGAAAGTCACTGTGAATTTAAGCCCAGTGTTTGGAGCACATACGCAGACTGTACCGGTCCGCAGGACGCCGTTGGATTACCGTGTACATAACTCGTTTCGCTGTAGTAGGTCCATTGTGGATTTTTTTTTCCTTTTCTCTATACCTCAGTCCCGCAATTTTTTTGTTTTCCAGGAGATTGGATAATGCTGCTAATTCACATAACACCACTTTTGCCTGAATTTCTTACTGTTGTTATACCAGCTCACATCGCAGCTAGTAAGATATTTGTCATGTTTTATTTTGGTTAACAAGTGCAGATAAATTTATATGGTTTTTACTCCCTGTAGCCAAATATTTTTCAGGTTACAGACAAAGAATCCTTACTTGTTCTTTTTTTGGTGGTTTTGTTTCAAGTGATGTAGTTGTATATGTTTCTATACATGAAAACAAACAAACAAGCAAGCATAGAACAGCATATGACAGCAAACTTTGTGGTTTTGCTGGGTTATGTTTCAATTTGGCAAACCTGAAACGTATGATCACAATGACACAAGCGATGTTACAAGCCCGTAGGGTCAGCAATAAATTGTATTTTTGTAAATTGTCACTTTTTAACTATAAGTTTATATTTATGAATTGAAAAACCAGTTTATTCCTCAGTGGGTGTATAATTAAGTGTCCCTACTGTTTGTGTCTTTCCAAAGGAAAAATGAAAATGTACATTTTTGAAGCATTAGTAGCTGAGTACTAACTTTGGGCACTGTTAGAGCCCAAACGTAGGAGAAGGGATAGGCCATTACTATAAGCTTTGCAAGAAAATGATTAGTTAGGACCAGATCCATCTAGAAGCAAAGCTCCATCTGGCAGTCAGAGCAAGGTTTAGGGTCGGGTTGGTCTGTAACCTCTGTCGAATCCAAGCAAAGCGCACTTTTTTGGCCTTTTTTTTTTTTTGCATTTGTTTGCTTTTATTCTTGTGCAAGCTGCTTTCTTGGCTTTTCACACCACCACCGCAGCAGCTGGATGCTGGTGCTCGCTGATGGAGGGGCCTTTGGCACGAGCAACCCCCAAGAAAAGGGGGGAGTGGGAAAGTTAGCATGTAAAAACAAAAATAGATATAGCTAATGCTAAATATATCTATAGCTAGAGATATCTAATTCTGTAGCTATAGCTATACCTATAGCTAGCTAGCTTGCTTTCCCCCACCAGCCACACACATTTCCTGCGCTGGGAGGATTTCGTTAGCTTTGGGGCCAGGCGTGAGCAGTCGCACGGGGGCAGAAAAACCCGAGTGTTTCAGCCTGACTGAAACAGGTTGCGGCAGCCCGAGTTTCCCGGAACGCTCTGGAATGGAACGGGAGCGTGACAGATCTGCCCCAGACACGGTTTTGGCTGCAGCCTTGCTGCTGCCTGGCGGGGTGCAGCGTGATTCACCGCCTGCCCCGGCCGTGCCCTGGCCCTGTTGCACAAGGGGCTGTTTCCCACCTGCAGGTTTGGGGGTTTTTTTTTGTTTTGTTTTGTTTTTTTTGTAGAAAGGGCTGGGGTTTTGATGGGCCACGTTGCCCAGGGTGGTGGTGGAAGCACAGGCGGCTGGAGCAGGGTGCAGCTGGGAGCTTTCGTGAGGCTGGTGCAAGGCACTGGGCTGCTTTGATGTTTCGGCTGGGGCAGGCACACAAACAAAAGCTGTGCGAGCCCCGGCTTTCCGCAGGGCCCCTCCCTTGGCAAAAGCAGCGGCATGGGTTGGCTTTGGCTGGGGCGTTCGGGCACACACCTCCCAGGGATGCCAGCGGTGACGGGTTGCGGGTTGCAGAGCAGGCGGAGGGGAGGTGCAGCCTCCCGGCCATGAGCAGGGTTTGGGGAGCACAGTGGGCCATAGCATGGAGACGAGGAGGTGCCCGGCAGCCCTTACCCCCAGGGTTGCAATATCGGGGCTAGTGCCTTGCGAGTGCTGTCCCTGGCTGGAACCCAGCCCGGCCGGCACAGGCAGCCCCCGGGCACCGGGGTGGCTGGGCAGCTGCTTTTGGGCACAGCCTGAACTGGCCCCCCCCCATTTCAAACCCCTACAAGTAATGGTGGCTCCAGGAGAGCCATGGGCCGGGGCCACCTCACCGCTGGCAGTGGGACGTGGAGCACCTGCCTTTGCGCTACAACCTGGAGCTGAAATAATACAGCCTTGACCCTTGGCTCTTAGAGCCCAGGTCCTGGGGAGAGCACGGGGTCTGTCCTGCCCTAGGCGGTTTGTGCTGGGCCAGCACGGAGCCTTTGAGGTAGGAAATATTTTTTTTTTTTTTTTTAAAGCACTATTACTTTTAGGGTTCCCCCTCCCCCCCCCATCCCAAGACAGTAGGGTTGCTCATGAGGTTGGGGCAGGAGGGGTTGCTGTATTTTAGGGGTTGTTTGTTCCGCCCCCAGCCTTGGCACATACTGTTAGTGGGGAGGCAAACACACACATATGTACGTTAGGGCTCCACCATTGAATGCAATTTGTGGCCCGGTGGGACTGGCGGGAGGGAAAGGCCATGCATTTCCCTGTCCTGCCCATTAAACCTGCATCATCCCAACACACCGCCACGGCTGTTCTGCAGTGTCCCATCACCGTACGTGAGCCCAGACGTGGCAGGTAGCGCTCAAATGTCTCTTGGAGGTGGTGGTGGTTGGGGTCAGGGGCTTGGGCCTGTTTTTTTTAACAGGGCTTGGTAGGGAGGTAACCAAGGCAGAGCAGTTTTCTGGCATTGCTGTGGCTTTGAAAGCAAGTCCAACAAAAGCAGGTTGAGAAGGGGGTTGGGGGTTGGGGGGCGGTGGTTGTGCCGGACGGGGCTGTGCCATGGGCACAGCCTTTGTGATGGCAGCGCTGGGCTGCACGGACGGGGCGGGCACGGGGGGTGGCACCGCTGCCCCCGCTCGCAGCCTCTCAGCGAGGAGCACAGGAGGTGTGCAAGGATGTTTACGTGTTAGATTGGCCTTGCTGAAATGAGAGACCTAAAACGCACTTTATCATGTGCCCCCTCTCCCCTTGGGTGGCTGCGCGGTCCCAGGCGCCGCCTCACGGGTAGAGCCGTGTTTTCCAGACAAGCTCCAAAGGACAAAATCCCACAGTCCCTTTTTGGGGCTTGCTTGGTCCCTCCTCACTCTGCCTCCAGGCCGGGGGAAGGCTGCGTAAGGGCCATGGGGTTTTTGCCTTATATTGTCACTTACTCTCAAAAAAAATATATGAATAACTAAATCTCTTTATTCAGGTTGATTTGTATTTGTTTACCTCAGTGTTAGCTATGACCTGTGTTTTTTTGGGGACCCATTTGGAATTGAGGGTTGCTGGTGGGTTTGGGTCACAGGGTGCCTACACGAAAACACAAGCGTGACTTGTTGTGACAAGCGGAGCGTAGGAACGTGACTGATGCCGCCTGTGCCGGGGTTAGGCTCGGGGTCGGTGGCGACCTATTACTCATTAATGTTCTGAGGCTTTCTAGTACACAGCACCGATATACTCTCTCTCTATATATATAGATATGCCAATATATGTATTTTTAATATACATATATATGTATGTGCGTGTATATCTATATATGAAAATATATATATAGGCCACACAATTCCAGACCTCTGAAAACACAGGCAGCTTTAATTAATAAAGTCTTGCACTTTTAGAGTATTTGTACATATAAGCTAAAGCCTGGTGGGTATAATCAGGCTGGTTTGACAAACACAATGAAAAGTTACTGTATATATTGTATATACTCCATGTAAAAAAAAAAAAAAAAAAAAAAAAAACAATTAAAATTTAATTGAATATATATTTT